CACTTGTCATACAATGCGTTTGGATGCCCGTCATGCTCATTATTCACATGCCTCATAAATGACAACCATTTTGCCTCTATGAGAGATGAAAACCCAGCTTTGGTAGATGTAGCACACCAGTATAAATGATTCTTGATGGATTTAGCCCATTCTGCTAATATTTCACAACCCTTCTCCTTGCTAGCTTTTAAAACCTTCTTCACCGTAGACTTTGCCTGGTGCCATATGTCGTAGTAATGAGTGGTATCTCTCTGCATGGTTCTCATCCACTTACCTATACCACGATGACGATCGGATACAAATGTGTTAATTGGAAGGTTTTCCTTGCCTTTTATTGCGTCAAACGAGCGTTTGGCCCCCTCTAACTCCATTTTATTGCTGCTTCCAACCTCGTTAGCCTATAACCAATTTTGGTGTTTGCGTGGTTAAAACAGTCATAATATAAAGAACTGCAAAAGCCATATTTAGATAAAAACAATACCTGAAGTAGTTCGAAATGTACCAGTTTAGTTAAATTACAATTCAACATGGTATAACATCCATATTTCGCACTGTGTCCCATGCTATCAAATCTACCGTCTCCAGCCCAAACACTGTCTTTTATCTCTTTTAACTGGCTTATTAAAATACCTCGAGATTTTTCCCAATACTGTAGTATCAATGGAAAGATAAATTTTCTTTGATGATAGAAAAAGGTTCTCGCGCAGTATATTTAAAGTCCTGGCCTGAAGAGTAGAAGAACTTTGCTAACAGAGGATCCGGACATGAGAATTGCGAAGCTCAGCAGAATATTGCCAGCAGGATGTTTTCCTAACACTAACGGTTGGCTTCTCCACGTGTAAGATCCTTTACATGCTTTACATCTTTGTTCCACTATTGCCATTGTTCCACGAACTTTTATGTCAACACTTGGCGATTCGGTCTTTCAGTGAAAGCAGAACAATGAAACCAGTGAAACCAACATACTGTAAAAAACTATAAACTTTGGCTCTGTATCCGCTAATCTAAAAAACAACAGTAGTAATATGTCGAAATAATATTTACGTATTTTTCAAAGTATTTTATGAATTATTCACTGATGCTGCGTGTATATAAAAATCTACCTTGCATCTTGTGATGTGCCCTCTCGTACTTCCTCTCCATCGTCTTCGAGCTCATCATCAGCTGACGAGTCTGTTTCTTCATCCTCCATATTGGCATTCCAATCTGGATCTCTAAAATTATCGATCAATTCACCTTCAGAGCTGTTTGCCAGTGATCCATCTTCATCATCCAAAGCCTCATCCAAGATGCCTATATCTTCACCAGTTTTGTTTTCGTCGGAATCGTAGTTACTTCTACTCTCGTCTTCAGACGAACTGGAGGACATCTCTTGTCGCAAAGATTCAACGATCTTAGAAAAAGATAACAAAATATTTATAGTAGCTCATTCTAAAGAACTCACTTCAACAAGCCCTAAAATAATCATGTGAGACTGTAGTATCACTTTCACAGTAATCATGTAACTTAGAACCAACCTTTTTGAGGTTTTTACTCTCCTTCCTTAATGCTGTTATTTGCCGCTTTCTCTTTAAAAGGCAATGTTTTTGCACAGAACGTACTCTCTGAAGATTCTCTAGTTTTTCTTTTTCCAGATCACATTTGGTGCACCGAAGCAATTCCTGATCTTCGGATATAAAACTCTCTTCATTTGGATTGTCAGAAAGAATCGGACTTTCGCATGCTGTCTCTTGTGTAGGCATTTCATCTAATTCAATTTTATCTGCTTCATCTTCATCTGAAGTTGTGTGCTCTTCCTCGTCTTGGTTGGAATCACCCGATAGCGGTGATAACTGGTGCCGTATTATCTGTTGATAAAAAAGAGATTGATATAACAAATAATATTCAACACGCAAAAAAAATATTCAAATATTTTTTGTCAAGTTGTTTGAATAAAAGACTCACCCTTCTTTTAGCACGTGAAGTAGTTGGCATTTCATCCAGGATGACAGTATCTTTAGTTGGAACAGACCCTGGTGTTAGATATCTAGCTTTTGGTTTGAGTTCGTCAGGCACCCCAACATGATACCTTGTTGCGAAGCAAGATTTCTCGAAATACGTGGAACATATAACTGACGATTTGCTTGGAACAAAATTTGGCTGATGTCTTCGCACGAGTTTTATCCAGTTTTTCCGCTGTTCCTCGTTCTCGGGAAACTTGTGCATTGATATCCCTTCAACGTGATAGGTATTTGTGCAACTGCGCAATCCAGGACCTCCACAACACAGTATTTTACCCCTTTTCGCCCTTTTTATGCTTGAAGCCATTGCTCGATCGCGTTCGATGGAAAATGAATAATGATTGTTGCTGCGCAGTTTTTATAGAGGGCTTTTGCGTGAATGCGCAGATGTGATGGCAGTGGAAATGCGACAGTGGAAATCCGCCCTCAGGATTTGCGCACACCACCTTGGTTTTTGTGGTTATATATCTACCCAGTAACAACTAATATTCTAGTATAAGTGCGTATACCCATACTGACGCAGCAACCGCAATTAGTGACTAAGGAATAAATTGCGCGTAAACAGGATACCGATACAGCGCATCTAATCACCACAAATAGACGAAAACAGCTAGGACATGTCAAAATACTGAAACGTCAGGCAAACGGGGATGTCTATAAATCTACCTAAGTTTACAGAATAACATATTATACAAAGTTTGCTAAATCAACGAAATGAAGTCCGTGCGTCCGCTAAGCCAATATTAATTACACGGATTATAAATATAAAAACTGTCCCTGTCGATACCTACGAAAATGTCTACAGTTCAAATGTTCAAAGCTACATTCGGCCGCTTATATAGGTGATTAAAAAGTAAAAATTGATGTATTTTGATATGATGGTCTTCACTTGACCAATAACTGCATCTACAAGACGCATATTTCTTTGGGAGCTCATCAAAGTGCAAAAATATTGCGATTTTACCTGGTAGACGCTCCAATGTTTATAGTATTTCTAAATAGGAAGAGCGCACTGTGTCACACTGCATACGTCATCACGACCTTTTGGCCGCGTGAGGAATTTCAACAGTTTTTATTTTCATAGCCCAACTTTGAACCTAAATTTTTCTTACTTCTAGTCCGAATTTGTCGACAATTTTGGTATCTTTATGATCGGGAAAGAACAAATTTTCAGAAAATATAAAAAACCCAAAAGCGAAATTTTCATTGCATATACACTTTAAAGGAATGCTTTCTACTTCTTCGTCAACAACGTTATACAATGGACCCCAACGATAACCTTGAAAAATATATCATCTTAAAAAAAAATTCTTCTTTTGCTGTATGTGATGTATTGGACTGAATAATAGGAATACCTGACGAGAAGTGTAATTGTTTGTGTGTTATATAAGATCCCATACGTCAGGAGGAGAATGAAATGAGGGTTCGTATTTACGGCAATCATAGCAGTGCGAGATTTTCATCAGGAAAATTTTGACCATAATTTTCGCTCAATCATCTATGAAAAAGCGTACAGTACCGTCTCTTCGTTGGGGTCGTTTTTACACAAACATCTCCATTTCCACCGCCTCTAACCCCGTGTAGCTAACCAGCCAATAATATGTCCCTAGATTGAGTGAAATACAAACATTCAGAACAAGAAATATTTTATATAGCTTCATACAAAATCTGTTTTTTTAAACTACCTGTCGGGAGACGAGTAATTTCTCAACTGACCGCTTGTGTATTCCAGCCCGAACAACTGAGGATGGTCTCGATAGCTAATTATTGAAAATATCTGACAGAAAAAGAAGTTTTAAAACTATGATATACTATAATACACAAGTCTTAACCAAACGGTATATTCTGGAAAGTAACTGCAAAAATAAAACTATTTTAAGTCGGCTGGATACTTTTTTGCAATTGGACATGTTCAAAATGGAAACGTGAAATAAAAAAGATGATAAAGCAGTAAACTTGAATCTAGGTCAGAAGACATGGAGAGTTTGGAGTGTTTGGAGTGTTTGGAGTGTTTGGAGTGTTTGGAGTGTTTGGAGTGTTTGGAGTGTTTGGAGTGTTTGGAGTGTTTGGAGTGTTTGGAGTGTTTGGAGTGTTTGGAGTGTTTGGAGTGTTTGTTTTTTTTTCTTTTAAGGTCTGAGATGAACAATTACTGGAACTGACATGGAATGTCGCATGACTTACTGAGCTAAGGGGATGAAGGCTGACGATGTTGAACATATATTATAGTAATAATAGTTTATAGTTTATTATATATTATAGTAATAGAGTTGATGTTCGCGGGCATAAATGTGTTTTTGGCCCTCCTCGCGGAACACATTGTAACCCTCGCTACGCTCGGGCTAAAATGAGTTCGAAGTCGGGCCAAAAACACATTTATGACCGCGAACATCAACTCTATTGTTATATTATTATCATTATAACATACACATGAGTATATACAAAATTAGTAAAATACAATAATTAGTAAATACAATAATTAGTAAATACAATATTAGTAAAATACAATAATTAGTAAATAGATTTGAATAAATATAGTTCACCTGGTGCAAGGCACTTTTTAATGATAACTCCAAGCTTATACTTTCTGGATAATTTAATACATTCTATAGGGTTTAATGATCAATATAGGGATAAGTATCATAAAATTGTTTGGCTGTTGGGGTTTATAAACTATCAAAACTACAAAATTATATCCTGTCAAAATTTCGAATTTCTAAAATAATGCCGGGTTTATGTTCATTTGAATTTGCTTGCTACTTTTATAATATGCAAAAAAGTAGACGGTAGACACTGATTTTAAGTTCAAATTTATAATATTTCGAAAATATATTATGCATTATTAATTATATAACATACCTTGAATAAATTTAAACTTTTACATGATTCAAGAACATTTTCATTTGTTTACCGAACTGTTTCGCCTTTGGATTTGATTCCGTTCATTAGTCAAAGTACACTTCAAGATGTCGGGCTTCCCTTCAAAATTGTCGAGGCCAGGGATATGACGGTGCTAGTGCTGTGTCCAGCCAGGTAAAAGGTATTTCTGGGAGAATATTAGAGAAAAACCCGAAGGCGTTGCATGTTCATTACTCCAGTCATCGTTTAAACCTTATTGTTGCCAAAGCGTGTTCAATTCTTCCAGTGAAAAATATGTTGAGTCAGGCACAAAATATCGCCAGCTTTTTTATCAGTTTCCCTATCCGCTCACAGTATCTAAGTAAAAAGATGAAAGAGTTTGGTTTAACCCGTAACAAGCTCGCAAAGCCTTCCACGACACGATAGGTAGAACGAATAAGATCCCGCGATGGTTGTTTGGATGCATTCAAAGTTATCTACGAAACACTCAATTTTATGCAGTTTGGAGGATCGCAGGAAGAGCCATTTCCTAGATTAGCTAGTGACGCACAGTCTCTGGATAGTGAATGTTCTTGCACGAAATAAATTTCATGCAAAGCGAGTTTGAAGAGAAATTCTTACCATAAAAGCGCTTGGTCCATATCTCGGACTACGACTCAAATATCGAGTTCGTTGAACAAATGCCGAACCAAGATTCAACTTTTGACCGGAATCTTGTAATAAAATCGACGAGGGTGAAGATCTGCCGTGTTCTGTATGCAGCATCTTTTGTTCTGCGCTGTCTAAAATGCAGGCAGATAATTTGTTCATTTCGTAAATGCGCGAACAATGGCCGATCTGTTTTAACATTACAAACCTGACTCCTTGAGTTCGGTTTTCTTCATTTCAACATCATCCCGGGTATCTTCAATATTAGTTTCCTCATCTTCTCTACACGATGCAAGGCGATCTTTGACAAGATCTACAATCAATGTACGCTGTCTGTGCTCTTGCTAAGAAGTTCTGTTGTAGTTTCAAGGCGTTGTCTGGCTCCTTCTTTAATGAGTTCGGCCGATAAATCATCTGAAATACAACAATATCAATTTGACATTCCGCCAACGGAATGCCCCACCGAAACATTGAACAGGTTTGACCCATCGTTGACAAGTTGTGGGCGAAAACATTCAGAGCACAATTTGACTGAGAAAATAAATGGGCTTACCAAAGAGTTGTTTTGGAATACAACTTTCATAAATCTCAGTCTTTCCCACCGCTGGTCGTCACAAGATGTTTGAGTCACGAGATTTCTGTACTGAGCATACGGTACCAGTGGCCTTTAAATTGCGGGCAAGAAGGTCAGATGCTTTGGTATCGAATTTTGTGTTTGGCACCTGGCTAGAATCATCTGCACGAGTTTTGCTATCAATGACAAATACGTTCCTAAGAGCTTTCACTAGAAGAATATTAAAACTTGGTCGCTCTTGCAAATATATCTATTGAAAATTCAGCAAGCAATCCCCGTGGCAATAGAATGACATGTGGACTTACTTTCGTAATAAATGGCACGAATTGTTTTCTTAACAATAGCGAACAGTTGACAAACTAGAAATGAAATGACATTATCAGCAAGAGCTACAGTGTATTGAGAGTATCTAAGGTGGAACATATCAGTTCGTTTATATTTTAATCATTTTGACAAGACCAATAATAAAAAGTTTCAGATGTTATCGCGTTGAGCCAACTTCGATGATTCTGTGTAAGGCAAACATATTCCAAAGACTTGTTTCAACTGGATCGCTGTGAAGTTTTTGTACAAAGCACAAAGCTGTTACAATGCGATTTAAACGATTTAAAAGAATGCTACCAACTTTTCGCCGAATACGATTGTGTGTTTACACAACCTAGCTCTCTTTAGGGGGTACATTGATATTTTGTAACAGATTTCATAATTTACGTAACTTCAAGAAACATACCAGAGGGAAATTCTAGCAGTGGTATGGCAACTTGAGACGTTGGCGAAAGTTTAGTAAACTTTTCCAGATATTGTGGGAGCAGTCTAAGGACAGAAAATTTAGTAATTATTACTTAAAAAATCATATATTTGTGAAGGAGTATCTCGCATCACAAGAGACGTTACGTTTAGGCTCGAGTTTATTGAAAAACGTTTCTGTAAATTCACTGCTTGAGCACATTTTCAAGGCATGATTTCAAATATCTCCAAATAAATAAACTCCTAAAACGCTGCAACTACTTAAATCAACTTCATTCTTACAAAGTGCTAATGGACATAAAAAAACGTCTCAAATTCCAGACTATTTTAAGTAGCCATACCTTGCCATAACTGAAGGCATTTCTACCATACATATGGTGAGACAAGATACGCTTAAGGTCGCGAAATGAGCAACCAAGTACGCATTAGACAACACTAGACGAAATATACAACAACGTTTAAGCAAGAACAGACAACCGCTG